AAAGACTGTATATAATGACTATTTTGCACATCCCTTTCAAGATTTCAAGATTTTCTAAGGTTTATTGACATATCATATAGGCCCACACAACTATGGTGTAGTTCTGCATTGAATGAAAAACTTGGGTCACAGGTTCCTCAATAGTGCATTACAAGACATCTATTAATATTTGTGCATACCTCCAGCAATGTTAACTATGTTGAAGCACTTATTTTAACTGATATTATGCATATGTATTATACTCTTATAAGATGTATGTAGATATTTCATCTCCGACCTTGTCAGGTATTGAACAATCAATCAATAAAGAACACAGAATTGTTAAATATAAAACCCAGAATTTGTGTGATTATACTAAATGATTTACAAATAAACACTACTGCATATTTACAACTGTTACACATGCTGATGTAACGCAAATGTTCCAACTTGGGATCAATAAAGTATATCTTATCTTAAGCTGATCGATGGCTACTGCCATATTTGCAACATTTGCCTAGCTGAACCTTAACAAGTGCATGTTTCAGGCTTATCAATTAATGTAATGTAATGTTATCAATTAACAACAGGGGTCACAAACATAAGACCAGCTGTTAAATAAAGCTCTTCTGACCATAGCTGGCATGTGTGTATATATATTAATGCTGCCCATTATGGGCACAAGCAATTTTCACATGCATTTATTAATTATATGTTTTAAATTTGAGTGTTTCCTATCCCCTAAACCTCCAGGGATGTACACAGTTTAATACTGGCAACTTCTTATTATGGGAAATACGAAAACGTCTTTTAAAACTACAACTCCCAGTAGAGACGTGCCATAGATACAGAACATGTTGCGAAACAGAATAGCCAGCATGTGTAGTTCTGGGGACAGGGTGGGGGAGGGGGGGACGCGGTGGACCCATTCAAATCCAGTTTTGGACAGTCTGCCGTGGTTCCATCCCATTTCAAGTGCTGTTCGAGAATCGGCGTAACCCTCGGAGCACACTCTCCAATCACAGAGCTTGAGGACTATCACAGGTTTGTCAAACAGAGCACATGGTGTAGTCCAAACGATAGCTGGGGATTCTGGGTAGTGTAGTGTCTTCTGCCATCCTTTACTCAGAAAAAATATTTGTTTCTCCGAATCGAAGGGGAAAAATACAAAAGCATTGCACACAATTTAAACCAATCAATGTTGTGTAATTAACAAGGATAATCTGGTGTTTTTTAGTCGATGAGTAGTGCAGACATCACTGTAAAATCAATCGACAGTAAGAGGAATACTTACTTCCGGGTGTACAATTCTCCGTTATCCAATGGGAATGGACACTCACATTGCCTTTAAGGGCAGCCGACACAAACGAATGCCGTGCTTCCATGAGCGTCAAATCCCGCCGCAGATGGGAATACATTGCAATCAGTTGAAAGCTATTTGCGTCCCTTTATGACGCTGAAGGAGCCTAGGAGCGTCACAACTGGACGCCACGGACACTGACCAAACGTCGCTCCTGGACGCTTAGGGAGTGAGAGTGTGTTGGTACAAGGCACAAGAGATGTGAAGCTCATAAAGCGAGGCAAATAGAAATAATCAGCTGATGGAGTGTAGATGTGGAAATAGGTGCATTCGATCAGCTGACTGTCCTGTACTGTAAATCTCACAACATCAGTTTTTAATTTTCCTCTTGGATGTTCTTCTTGACCCTCAGAGAAGGAGAAAATGTTGAATCGTTTCTTTCATGCATGTTCTTTCCTAACAAAAATTACAGGAAACATAAAACATATTATTGCAGAACAAGTGTCTTATTTATAAAAGAGGTGTGTTTGTGTGTTTAGGGGCTGTAGATATAATTATTTTGTAATTGTAATGTTTGAATACTTCGACATTAGCTTGTCTACATACATGAGCATAGCCAATTTAAATTAACCTTAGATGCATACAGTTCCTACCTACATAATAAAATATCTCTCTAAGTTACAAGGATGACCTTATTTTATCAACCTCAAACAGAAGCCGTTTGTTCTACAGTATTATCCCACTTAACACTTGTCTATTTCGTTTTAACCTTTATATATACAGTCTATGGTTTTAACTTGGAGGCTACGATTAGCATCGTTAGCACCGATGTAGACCACTGGCTTACACGCTAACCCAAGCCTTAACATTCATTACGTAGCTGATTAAAATCATTAACACATAAATAAAGTACTCGAGTTTCACTTGCCGCAAAACCGCATTCATGCACCGTCTGTTTTAACCGCAGAGCGAGTCACAATAGTCCGATATATAAGCAGCATGAAGAAGAACAAATAAACACGGCCGGGATCAAGTTGTGTTCCCTGGATGAACTGAGCAGGCAGAGTGCCTGTAGCTTCACGGAGCAGCTAGCAGAGAGACAACAAGCTAACAGCAGCAGTCACTTGACAGAGCTGTCACTCAAAGTGACCACGCCCTAATTCATGCAAAAACTTTAAGACCTAATATAAATAAAAGGGTCACATTAGAAAACAATTCACTCACAGATTCATAATCATGAAGGTGGAATCTAACTATATCCATAATAATATTTATTGCATCCATGGGTAGAAACATGTTTTTTTCTGCTGTAAAATTGGGCATTTTAACATGGGGGTCTATGGAAATGGCTCCTTTCTGCAGTCAGCGCTTATCGGCCAATATATGAACTGCAGTGTGTGGCACTTCCGTATTGGCGTCCCGTTTCTTCCCCAGAGTTTGCAGCTTGGTGTGAACCATAGGTGTGAATGCAAACCGAACTGAAAAAAAAATGAAACAATGTAACAAACTGGTCTGGTGCACACCAGAGAAGCGGACTATTAGGTGGGAATGCACCCTAAATGCATCAATCTGGTGCCCTTTGAGAGCAAAATTAAGAGATCTATGGATACATCTCTCAACACCCATATGAAACAGAACTGTAAACCAATTTTCTATTTCTTTATGGATATTTTACAAATCATTCCCCTTTTAAACTGTATTCTTGTTTTACTGTCATATAGTATTTCATACCTGTTTTTCATTTATGCTCTTGTTTTTTTATACCTATAATGATCATATAAACGTACGTGTGCCTCAGAAATACTTTTGTTCACTATCTAAACACTCAGAGAGTCCTTTACTTCACCTGAGCTGAGGTTATCTGAGACTCTCAGTCTGACAGGAGAGAGTTCTCCCACTTTGTTGTTGAAAAAGCTCCTTATATCCGTTAGCGTAGGTAGCACCAGATGCTAACCACAACGATCTCCGGTGCCGGTACGCGCGCGCTCGCTCGCGCACACACACAAAACAGAGCAGAGCTTGAATGAAACAGAGGCCCAGGCTACTTGTACTGTACTAGCATATTATTTTCGAATCAATCCTTTTTCAAATTATGAATTTCACACATTAAAAAAAAAGACATACATTTCTTGGGGGTGCTTATGGGGTGCTATGGCTATCCTGAGGGGTGCTTCAGCACCCCCCTGGCGCCACTGTTTAGCAGTTAATATTGCTTGTGTTTACATTAAGATGTTATTTAAATAGCAATACAATTGTATAGCAAATACATAGCAATACAATTGTATAGCAAAACTAAACAATAACGGAATTCAAAAGCAGAATGTTACATTTTAATTTAAACTAAAACGTACACAATCACTTTCATATGCATGATGCTCGGCCTGGCTCGTCGTATAGGCCTACGTTCTTTTAAAACCAGAACTAAAATGAATTACTCCGTTACTGGGTATGTTGAATAATGTACAATGCTGCAGCAGCAATAATGTTCACATTAGTGATGTTACGTATTGCGCTGAGGCTTCGGAGCGTGTGTCGAGTAATCCCCGAAGCTTTTTGTGAAGCTTGTATCGAGGCTTGTATCGTTTTGGGCAAGTGATGTCATCGATGACAAACAAAGCCTCGCTGCCTGTCGATACCACGTGACTGCGTCAGGAAGCGATTCAGATCGGTTGAACCACAACGCTCATATTACCCATTGATGTATAATAATCCATATTACCCCTCCTGTACCCGGGCCCGGTGACACGATGGAATTAAGAGAGCTCAGAGACCCTCACTTATATAGAGGTCGGAACATGTCATAGCCTAAGTATAAATGAATAAAGCATACATAAATGTAGGAATAAAGACATGAATAAATAAATAAATGAATACATTTAATAAATAGCATTCAGTGTTTTCAAGTTGATTTATTGTGTGAGCTGTGGCTCAGCTGGAAAGCAGTTGACTCACAACCGCAGAGTCCCTGGTTCAACGATTCGTCAATAAGTCTTTTTTTTTTTATAAAAGCTACAGCTAAATGAGATAATGTAGTTAATAAATAAATAAATGAATACATTTAATAAATAGCATTCAGTGTTTTCAAGTTGATTTATTGTGTGGGCTGTGGCTCAGCTGGAAAGCAGTTGACTCACAGTGCAGAGTCCCTGGTTCAACGACTCGTCAATAAGTATTTTTTTTGTTTATAAAAGCTACAGCTAAATGAGATAATGTAGTTAATAAATGTATTCTTTGATATGGTTTAGCCTTTCTCAGGCTACAACATGGTTAAGTTAACGAACATTATTAAGGAATACAAATCCCTCTTTGCAATGTTTGCCAGCCTCCTTAGGCTTTTCAATCACAATAATTAAAGTGGAATAAAAACAATATTGTTAACATGAAAATATGATTTTATGTTCGTTGTTTAGAGTTATTCTAAGGCTTTACTCATTGGGAACTCGGTATGAAATAGAGCACACTGTTGAGATGTCAAATATGCCTGTTTTACACACTTTGACACTTTGCTCAAATGAAGCCCATGATGAAGCCTCATGAGATGAACCCTTTTGCGAACCAATTGGCTGGAAAGCTTCAGAGCTTCATAAGGCTTCATCTCGCCATCACTAGTTCACATGTCTGGTCTACCCGTGGCATCCTGGCATTGCCGAGTCTTGAATTGTCCCTCATTTCAGGGTGTTGTTTTTTGTGTTAGAATATTTTTGATTTTCCCACAGAACGGGAATGCAACATGTGACCAAATCAGCTGATGGAGGAAAAAAAGGCTCGCGGCCCGCCTTCTTGTGTGACGCATGGCTCACGCTACGGTACGCCATTTGTGTCTAGCAGCAAAAAGCGCGGACAGTGGAAATAGTCGTATAACAAGAGGTAAGTGAAATTGAGGTTGAACTGTGTCATTAAATTATCACCTGCATTTATTTTGCGGAAGCGATAGGCGGTCTCTGGGGTGTTTTCAAGCACTGTTTCGGCAAACTAGAGGACTGTTTCAGAGGTCGATGTTAGCCTCCTTTTTGGGCCTCTGTGCTGCCGTCGTTTTCCAAGCCATGGAGCGCTGTAGACCCGCCTCTGTCCCGCGGTGATTGGACAACAAAGCTGATGTAGTGATTTAATTGGACGTGCTGCGCGCATCTCAAAAATACAGCTAAGAAACAAGTCGCTTGTTAGCAAGTTAGCATCAGGTAGCAAACAGCAGTATTCACAACTTCACCTGTTTTGTGTGCAGTTGCAGGAGCCATATTCAACTTGAAAAGTGTTTTCACACTTTCGCAACTCTGGTGCATTGCGTGTATGTGCGACCCGGTGCAATTTACAACATGCAGTCTTAAACACGTTCGGCTAACTTAATATCACTTCCAAGCTATCATCGATTGCTTGGTAGTGACACATCTGGTAGTTCACTAAGGTGGAGTGAGTAAGTCACAAGTGTGGCTAGAATGTGATGAAAGTATTTAAATTACCACGGAGTTGTACCAGTTGTAGGAAGAATATTCCTTGTTGGTCTGTAAATCCTGTTGTTAACCGACGACACAACCTTATGCAAATCCAATATTACTTCTCCTGCGATAGAAGGAAAACGTGAGACTGAATTGACCCCAAAAAACCTGCGAACATAAATTCAGCACAATGTGAGACCCTTGGTAGTTTAACTTTAGTAAAGGTGCTTTACAAATAAAATGTAGTATTATTATTATATGATCCAATAGCCTACATGAACATCTAACTGTTTTTACATTTTGTGACAATATACATGTAGATTGTGGAAAATGAGCTAGAAAATAATATTTGTTCCTCAAGATGTCCCCTTTACAAAAATACTGTATTTTAGTGTTGAGAATGTTTTAAATAATTACAACTCAAGCACATTAACACTTAACTGTAAAAAATATGCTGCAACACAAAGTACAAATAAATAAATACTTGTTTTAAGTTGCCGTGCATTGAGCTGTCTTAGCCAATGTATACTTATATTGAAGCTTTGCTAAAACGGAAAACATTTAATGAAAATGGCAACTGTGTAAAGCTCTAGAAATATTGATATTCATAATTAAGATGTGCTTTAGTTACATTTACTGGCATACTTATGGAAACTGTTGTAGCTCCACTAAATCATGTCTACAAGCATGTAAGGATACATACATAATAATAATAATAATAATATGACTTCAGTGGACATTTTTCCAATAAATAACTACCAACAGCTCTCATTCTCTTCTCAAAACAATTCTCACCAAGAGACACTAGATGGAGACATTTACTTGTGTAAATGCAGATGGTGTTGTTGAAAGATTCATCACTTTTCAGAAGTTTATGTTAAATTAGAAATTATTTGGCAAAGACACTTAATCCGTCTCCATAATTCTTTTGAAAATCCCAAACATAATTTTTTTTTCTTTCTTTCCAGGAGTTTGATCCAGTGTTGGTGATAACGATCAACTTCACTGTTATAGAATTATAGCAGTGTAAGATATGGATGAAACCGTAACATTAGAAAAAGAGGCTGTTGAGGACAAAGTGTCTGACACCGTCAGTTGTAAGGTGCAGCAGGATGATGTTGACATGGAGGGAAATAAAGAAGACCCTACCGAAAGTACTGCCAAGCCTGATGAAGCGGAAGATGAACTCGCTAAAGGTCTTCTGCCGGACAACGTGCCTGAAGGTCGGGATACTATCTGCACAAATTGTGGGTTCTCAGCTAAATGTCCAAGATCACTGAAGATTCACTATGCAAGAAAGCATGGAAAGAACTCGAAGAATAACAAAAGAACAGCTAAGCTAGCTGAAAAAAGTGAACAAATCTCTGACCTGAGTCCATCTGAAATCCATCAGGAAGTAGACATGGAGACAGAAAGTGCTGCTGAAGTTCAACAGAACAATAAGTCTGATAGTGATGAGTTGGGATCAGGGTCCAATGAGATGAAGACAAAGCGTTTAACTAAAAAGCAAACTGAACTAGACAAAGAGCAGGCAGATCAAGAAGAGGCCATCCCTACACAGGAGAGAAGAGTGAGCAAGCGGACCCCAAAACCTAAGATGATATATTCCTGCAACTACTGTGGACAAGAGTTCAGGGACAAGTCCCCTTTGGATGTGCATATCCAGAGTTACCACACCAAAGACACCCAATTCACATGTGAGTATTTATTTTACTCAATATTATTTTGGTATTAGATATTTGTTTAATTTGTAATGCTGAGTTTTCATTCTCAATATTTCTGCAAAAATAAGTTCAAAGTTAGATTGGAATACATGTTTTTTACTGAATTGTTTAGATTATTGGTTAAAAAGCTAATCTAAAATCTCTTTCAGTTGAGGCTGGTGAGAACATGGATACAGAAAAGGACGCTGAGGATCCTGGCAGCACTCTGAAAGCTACTCCCACTAGAGTGGCAGCTAAACGTGCGCTCAGCAGGTTCCAGCTTAAGTGTACCAATTGTGATTTTAGGGTTAGCAACCCTTCATTGCTGGAGAGCCATACTCGAATCAAACACATGAACCAGCAGTGGTACCGTTGCAAATTGTGCAACTTCTTTTCTGCCACATCTGAGTGGATGGACGCTCACCTGTCCTCCGATAGTCACATGCAGCAGCAGAAAGAGGAGAAAGGCATGGAGCTTTCGGCATTTGAAGTGTACGTTGAGAGTGTAACTAGAGACAGTATTGGAGAAAGTGGTAAAGTGGATGATATGGCTCAGGTGGCTACTGGAGAAGACGTAGACTCTGCAACAGAAGGACATCAGGAAACTGAAGAGGCAGTGGAGGCTGCCGAAGCTGATTCGGTCGAGGAAGAAGATTTTGAGCTTCAATCTCCCAAAAGAAAAAGAGGAAGACCAAAGCAAGTGTCCACGACCACTTGTGGATACTGTGGCCTGGTAGTGTCCAATGCTACTAACCTCAGTGTCCATGTCCGCCGCAAACACAGCAAGGAGTATGGCTACAGCTGCACCCTGTGCAACTACAGCTGCGTGACCAAAGGAGACATGGATCGTCACTGCATCACAAAGAAACATGTCAGACGTGCACAAGATTGCTCAAATAAGAACCAAGTGGACAACCACACAAGTCCGTCCCCGCAGGAATCCACAAGTCAATGCCAGGAACCAGATGCAGCCCCACAGACCCCTGATAAGGAGTCAGAATCTGACAACACAGCATCCAACGAGCAGAGTGGGGAAGAGCAAACTCAGTCAGACACAAGCCAGAACAAAAGTAAATATGACTCTCTGAATGCTTGCGTGTATTGTGATTTTGTAGCTCAATCAGTCCCTTCGCTGCATCTTCACGTCAAGAGAAAGCACACCAAAGATTTCGAGTATGTATGTCTAGCATGTAGCTACTATGCCGTAACAAGCAGGGAAATGTCTCGCCATGCCAGCACAGAAAAGCACAAACAGAAAAGCCGGAAATATCTGGCACCAACAGGAAGTGAGGGACAAAGAGATGCAGCGCTCCCTTTGAAGCAAAAAGAGGACATTGATCTTGAGGGGGCAAACTCCTACCCTGAATGTGAACCCTATAGCCCCAAAGAAGAGTCTGACTCTTGTTCTGGTGACAGCCAAGTTGTGGAAAGTCAGAATCCAGCCGAACTCTCCGTCACCACAGAGCATGTTGATGCTGTAGCTGGTGTGGACAAGGAGCAAGCAGAGCCTGATACATCTTCTAGTTCCAGTGAACCACATCTAACCAATGTGACAATGGAGCCTACAGAGCTATCTGAATCTAAGCAGGCTGTAACAGATGTTCAGCCTTCAGTGGATCAGCCTGAGAGCCAGGAGGAACAGGCGGACGAAGAGCAAGAGATTATTATAGATGCAGAAAGTGGCAAATCTCCTCCAGATACACAAATGTCCAAAGCCCTTCCCTTCGATGCCTGCATTGTATCCTGGAAGAACCTTGCTGAGCAGGAGCTGCAGGAAGGTTTGACTCTAGAGGGCGAGGCTGCTGTCATATGTCTGACTGGGGGGTCCCCGGTGACTGGCAGCCTGCCCTCTCACTCTGCATACGTCAAGAAGATCACACGCAAAGAATTGAAGGTGAGAAAGGAAGCTAAGGGAAGCGGCTCGCGCATACGCTGCGACGACTGCGGCTTCATGGCCGACGGCATCAGCGGCCTCAACGTCCACATCTCAATGAAGCACCCGTCCAAGGACAAACACTTCCACTGCTTGGTGTGCGGCAAGTCTTTCTACACCGAGAGCAACCTGCACCAGCACCTGACCAGCGCCGCCCACCTCCGCAACGAGCAGAACAGCGTGGAGGAGCTGCCCGAAGGCGGCGCAAGCTTCAAGTGCGTGAAGTGCACGGACCGCTTCGAGTCTGAACAGGAACTGTTTGTTCACATCAAGGAGAAACACGAGGAGCTTCTGAGGGAGGTCAACAAGTACGTGGTGGAGGACACGGAGCAGATCAACCGCGAGCGTGAAGAGAACCAGGGCAGCATGTGTAAATACTGCGGCAAGGTGTGCAAGAGCAGCAACTCCATGGCCTTCCTGGCACACATCCGCACACACACTGGTATGTACCCTGCCTCTATTACACACACTCTTCCCCTTTCTTCTACTCTTTATATTTCACACTCACACACAATGCACATTTTCAACTTTAAAGTAGCTGCATTCATTATTTAACCTCTGACTGATATTAGGCCTTTGTAATGCATTTTGAGCACTTGAACACATCCAGTTTCCAAAAAACAAAACATGAATGTGTAGCTGCTCAGCTATTAGGCTTTTGTTTTTAGCTCCAACCGTATTGAGTGGGTAGACACAGCCTCTTCTTTGGCAGCTTATGCTAATGTTAAGGCTACTATCTACTGCAGCCAGGTAATAGCCGTTTCAGTTGAGGTGAAGGTAAAGACTGATTGAGCTTCAGACCAGCAGGAGAGACGCTAATGGACCCCAGATTGGGATTCCAAGAGCAACGCTTGGTCAGAGACATGTGCGACTCATAATTGATGTGTCCATTACCAAGGCTCAGTTGTAATTATAGTCAATAAGTCTCTGTAAATGTGTTAAAGCTTAGGCTAAAAGCATTGGAGGTCCAAAGAGAGGTGGGCTAATAATTTAAAATAATCAATGCAGACGTATTCAAAGCCTTTAATTTCCCTTGTGTCTGTACGTCCATGTTTGTCTATAGACAAGTAAGCGCTTGCATGCCCAGTGAACGTGTGTATATGTCAGCCTTCATGGCAAGCTGATTATCCTCAATCCATTAAGATTTATCTTGTCATTTATAATGCAAAGCAGGACTGCGTCGGTCAGAGCTTCGGCTGGGAAATGTCCGGCAGGTTAAGAACACAGGGCGCTCCATTACTTCTCCCTGACCATGTGTATTAATTGCTTTTAAAATCAACTTAATGCAGGAACGAGATGTGAGGGCGCCATCAATAAATGCCCTTCTCTGCCTCCTATGGTTCACTCGCCCCCCCCCCCCCCCTTCAGCCCAAACTTTAATGGGACTTTAGTTGTAGTCCGTACTCTGTGCTGACCACGTGTGTAAATGAGGTGTGTGTGAAGTGTCTGATGTATGGGAAATAAAAAGGATTGTTTCCACTTTCAGACTCGTGACAGTGGACGGTTTGTGAAGCTGTTGTAGCTTTTGTTGGAAAACCCACTGATAATATTTCCATGCAGAATACTGGGGAAACATTCAAATACTGTGCTGATTACTAGGACTTTTGCCATTTCATTAAAAAAAAAAACATTATTCATATTAGCATTTTAAATGATACTTGATGATGGTCATGGTGTGTTTGTTGTTCTTTTTTTTATTAAAAGGTCTGTTCCAAACAAGAAGGTTTAATGAAGTCTTTAGATTGGTTGTTGATCGGGATTTCTTTGCAGCGCCACAATATTTAACTTATATGTTCACGTATACTGAATATACTTTGGATATCATACCAGCAATTTTGTTGTACAACCCTTCTCTTTTTACTCTATTATGTCATCATATTCCCTTACATGCAATAGGCTAAACATGTTATTGTATTTACCCCTTATTTAGAGAGGAAGGTTCCATTCAAATGCAAGATCCAGGAAGCCCTTGTGTGCTCCAAAAATGTGCTGTAGTCAAATCTTCTGATATGCTGTTGCTTTAGGGATAACTAATGCATCTGGGGCACACGAATGATTTCATGTTCAGCAAACACTCAAACATTCTTTGTCCTTTCATTTAGTATGTATGCCAGTCACCTTGTGTGGCCAAAGTCAGAGTGCTTACAGCTAAAACCCGACTGCTTAAAGATGTAAGGATTGGAGGTTAAATTCCTGATGATTAATGTCCAGCCACCACTTTCTTCTTATTAAGGAATAGTCTATATGTATCCATAATTCTACCCTGTGTCATAATTCTTGAGTTTTGAGGTCACTTACTTAGTGTTACTTAAGGAAATGAAAAGCTGTGACACTGAGGTCCCAACAGATGGCTTCAAGTCAAGGGCAAATTCCCAGGCTTCAAGAGAGGAATACTTTGTTTTCTTTAGGCTTACCATTTTTTTTTATTCACCTGAATTATGTTCTTGTTTATGAGATTAATTTCATTTATGCTGTTCTTATTTGTGGAAAGCACATCTTTCTCTTCGTTTTGACGACATATGCCAGTTGTTATTATTGCTAAGTTCCCTCATTACAGTGAATTATTCACCTTTTTATGTGGCGGTCATTTATTCTGGGACTTTGTTTGTGGGGCTTTGGAGCTGCGCAGTGGGGGTCTGCCAGTTTCTGGGCTGGGAGCACGTCCAGATCCCTTTAATTAAGACCTAGTTTTTATTCACTTGATTAATCAGGGAAATCAGGAGACGGTAGTGGGAGGCTGCACACAGATTTGTCAATTTGTCCCTTAAAGGAAACGTGTACACATGCATGCATTTTGCCAATGAGGCTACAGCTGGGATTTGCATTTTGAGGTAAATTGGTCACTTTTTCACTGGAGTGAGCTGTCTGACCTCAGACTGAGCCCGAAAGTAATGGACACACACCCCATGCATGTGATGTGTGTTTGTACAACTAGCTAACATTTTTAATTGTAAGCACATAAAGCACAAGGGCTTTGATAGAGAAGTTTCTAACATCTTTATATCCTTAGTTAGTTAGTGTTTCCGCCAAGGATTTGATATTCTATCAAGTATTGAAGCATTTAAAAGCACATTTAGAGCCTCATGGGGCATTACAATCTGCACTGAAAGCATTGTCTGCCCCCAGAGACACTGGTGAGTGTGGCGCTTGTATCAAATAAGTGCATGCCACTTGTAACCTACATATTATATATTTTATGCCATGTTTTGTTAAGACCAAGTCCATTTGGCAGCCAGATCCAAACCTTAAAGGGGTAGTCCAAAATTGGCCAAAAATAATATACAGATTTAAAGATAAAGGATCAGTCACCATTCTCATTCCCATCCCTAAACATCGAGCAAATCAGTGCGTAACATTTGACCTCAAAGAGGGCCTATTATGCTTTTTGAGGTTTTCCCTCCTGGAGCGTGTTATATATATAGTTCCGCAACATAGTGACAGCAGCCCTCACACTTCTATTTGCTAGCGCATTGTACATGATATACTATAGGGCGGGACATCTCTAAGCGACCAATCAGATCAGAGCAGACTGGGCTCAGGTTTCAGACAGCGGGTGAGAGAGGTGAGCTGCAGCACAGGCAGTATTAGACAAATAAATACCTTTTTAAACATTAAAGGTGGGGTAGGTCATTTTGGAGAAACCAGCTCGAGTGCGCTAGAATTTGAAAATACACCAGCGGAAAAAATCTGCCACTTCCTTACAAAGCCCCTCCTCCAACACACACGAACGCGCACATGACCAATGAGGGCACAGATACGTTTGTGCACAGATGGAAGGCTGACAGGCAGGTAGGCCATCCAGTTATTTTAGCCGGGCCGGCTCAGATGATTGGTCGTGCTTTTTACAGTACCACGGCTTCCACAGATGAAGTTTTTTTATGGATTTCTTTTCAAAGCACTTAAGATATTCATTGCTATCGGGATGTTAAGAGCATTCCATGGAATATAACCAAAAGTGTATCTCGAGCCGGTTTCTCAAACTTACCTACCCCACCATTTAAAGCATGTGAACATGTCACAGTAGACACACAAAATACATTTATGAACCTGAAAATGAACATAAAAATACAGAAGCTTGTATTGTGTGAAAGGCAAAAGTAGACTGGGATAAGACTGAGGTATACAGCTGTTGATGTAATGGCTGCTTTTCCATGCCAACACCTCCTGCAGCAGTGGTCACCCAGCAGGCAGCGGAGAGACTAGAGAAACGCAGAGTCTCCCCAGGCTGCACAAGTCTTTGGAAAGGTTTGCACAGGACAACAAGAGGGCTCTGGATTTGTCTCTCGTGAGAACTGTTGGGGAACAGGGGCGGAAGCTGGCCAAACTTCATGAGGATAACAATTCTCACCAAAAGGGCTCTCAACTCATACCTCTCTAGTGCTTTCTGTGTGAACCGTGCGATAACCAACACTCCGCAAAAAAGTGGGGCACTTATTTATCTAAAATGATCATGTATTATTTCTTTCCTCCGAACCTGGTGATTAAAGCAAAGGCTATGACAGGATTGGGTGGCATGTGCAAGGCTTAAGACATCACCTTGTGTGTGTGTGTGTGTGTGTATGGAGTGAAACATTACATGAGGTTCTCCTCTCAGGAAATGAATTAGTCATTCCCTGTCTCATCTGGGATGTGAGGGAGCCACATCGCCCCTATGTGGATGGCAATATTAATTTAACATGACACTGCATTGATGGTCAATTTCAGTTTCACGGAGGCTGTTTAAGTGGAGTGGTGGAGTATTAATGTGATAAGATGTGGGAACTGAGGGACGTTACAGCTCTCTCCTTTCTGCCATGTCTCATACTCAGCCAGCCATCTGGACAAATCAGCTCCCCACACGCCTCGCTCTCACCTCAACTTTAGGGTGTGTGTGAGTGAGAATGATCGTCTCTCCTTCTGTTTGTCCACGGGTGGTTGTGTCTTGTGAAATCGAATGTGTGTGTCTGTATGCACATGCTTAGGTGTGAGGTGGGGCTCTGCATCTAGATGTAGGTATGTGTAGGTGGGATGGTGGGTGCCGTGTGATGTATTTGAGTTTTTTAAGCAGGTGTTGATGATTGTGTTTTTTTTTTTTTAAATGCGTGTGAAAGTGTTTGCACATTTAGGTGTGAAATGTGTCTGTATAGGGATCGTATTTGTTTATAATATATGCCTTTTATTTGTTCTTGTTTGTGTGCCTCTGTGAATGTACGTGTGTGTAGTATTCTATGGGGACAGGCTGGCTTTGCTGCTGCCCATGAGTGGACCCCACCACCACCCCCCCGCCCCCTGTGTTTATGGGTCTTGTTAGCACAGGCTTGCCTTTCAATCTTCGTTACCGCCTTCAAATTTGATGTGTCGTTCTTCCAGCTCACAGCAAGTGAACCGTGTATGAACAAATTAGTAATCTACACAAAGTGCTTAATCAAATCAGCGGCTGCCCCTGGAATAAATATTGCACAACGTCTTGGGATATTCACTCCGAGAGGGTGAGGGGTTTGCTCAAAGATGCATATGTGGATTAACCAGGCTGCCACTAAAATTGGATTGTCGCACTGTGAGACTCTGGCCTGCATCTGGCCTAGCCAACCAAAATAGAAATCAATTTGTAATGTTTAAGTTACATTTTTGTACATGAAGTGAAGGCAATAGCAAGTCATTTGGCTGAAATTAGAGGTAGGGCTGCTCGATTATGGCAACAATCATAATCTCGGTTATTTGGGTCAATAATTGATATCACGATTATTAAAAACATCAATTTATTGAAAAAGAAAAAAGGTGTAGTATGTTTTTAACAGTTGATTACCCTGAACTTTAAGTATAATTCAATTGAAAAACCAATAAAAAAATGTTTTTCTTTTTAAATAAATAATAACATTTAAAAAAAAAAAAATCGTTTTATTTCGATTATGTTGTTTTCATAATCGTTGCAAGCCAAAATCGTAATTGCGATTAAAATACGATTAATTGACCAGCCCTAGTTAGAGGTTTGTATTACTCACAAACCATATGAACACGAGATTTTGACCAACACAAACAACCTTTTAAAAAAAAAATGGATTCCGTTTAAGAAGTTCTCCTTTTCTAATCTGAGCCGGTAGCTGTTTGTGCATCAGCCCTCGCAGCTCTGCCCTTAAATGACTGATGGCAGGCGGAGGCTCTGCCACTCTCTCCAACGCTACCCCGCCCCCTAGACTTATTAATGACAATAATTAGGGAGAAACCTCCCTGAGAAGCCCGCCAGAGTGATTAGCGCTTTAATGATGGAATGGGAGGTAGTGAGCGCACCCAGAATTGATTTACGTATTCGCCCTGACCTTTGGAATCCAATTTACGCATCCACAGGCAAAGGAAGAGTAGGTAAGAGATGAAGGAGAGTGACAAGGATAGATAGAGAGTGAAACGCCTGGCACTCGAAGTGTGACTGTCGTAAGGGCATCTGTTTTTATAATTCTGAAGTCACTCTGTGGCTCTGCAGTATGTTGAAGTCTCAGCATAGAACTAATAACAGTCCTCCATGCCTGGCATTGAGAAATGAACTGTAATGTCAAATCTGATTTCTGCCCAGCGGGTTTATAGTCATGTTTTATTAAAATTGCCACCTCTTTCTTTCAAACATAATATTATCGTTGGATATGAACTCACCTCGTTTTACTTTGTTTCGCAGGATCCAAGCCCTTCATGTGCAAGATCTGCAACTTTGCAACCGCTCAGCTGGGAGACGCCAGGAACCACGTGAAGAGGCACCTCGGCATGAGAGAGTACAAATGTGACATCTGTGGGTGAGTCACAAGGTCTTATAAACATGATTGAATGTTGCAACTTAATTTAGGTTAATCATGAGATCTGAACACAGAACTGGAGGTGTAGAACTTTTCCCATCCCTTTTAATGATTGGTGTAACTAGTCAAGTATGTAAGTGTGTGTCAGGCCAGAAACATCATTTATTCAGCTTGATCAGGTAAGTTCAGAGCATTTAGATGATTACAAGAGCCACTGCCTGCACAATCATCATATTTATCTTGACATTGTATTGTAGTTTCCAGAACAGCTGCCATAGTTTTGTGTTGAGAGTTGGAATTGAGAAGCATTCACCTGCGACAGCCAGCGTTGGCTGCGTTCCTCTCTTAAGGTATGGGAAGGTTACATGTTGCTGTCTAAGGGAGCGATCTGCTCATTTCCTATCCTACCACCCACTTTAAATTGCATTCGTCTCAAGCTAATTCATAATTCAATCCAATTTAACCCTGAATGACCACAATAAGAGAACTGATACTAATGCAAATTCCTTGTCAACATACTGAGATTTCATCTAATTAGAGAACTGCCTAGAAGAGCTGCTAAACCAAATAATATCATGTGTGAGTCTTTAGATAATCTTGGTGCTTTTGCACATTTAATATTCACGTTGAAATTCTAAATACATAGGCTATTATTTATTTAGGAAAAGATCAAAAGCTGGCCACACTCCAAAGAGCAACCCAAACAATTCAGTTGCACTTAAATGTGTACAAAGTGTAAATGCTCTCAAGCCTTTCTTGACAATGTATCTTTCCTCCTGAATTAAAGGTAAAGACTGTGCTTTACCTTCCTTAATGTATAAGCTGTTCAAATACTCATAATTGGAAGAGTATGTTCGGTAACCACGAGCCTATGAATACCCAGCAGTGCAGGAGCGCAGTTCTATCCCACTACCTCGCACCCCCTACATGTAGACCATATGTTGTGTTCAGCTCCTTTCATTCCCGCGGTAGACCTCCTCACTGCCTTGCCATGTTCAAATGGACGTGTTAAGCTGTTTAACATGCAGTCAGGGAATAGAGTAAATTGTAGGATTTCCAACTTCGTGCCATCGAGCTTCTGCGGCTACACTCTCGCTAAGATGAAGACATATGTGGCGTTATTAGTTTCTCCCTCTGTGTAATTCCGTGTAAACCGTTCCATTTAGTTCAGTCGCGGGCCGATCTTGTTCTTCTGAAGCCGAGCGGAGCGCGCATGTTTATTTGCTCCCGCTGATGTTCGCAAACATATTACAGCAGGAGCAAACAAGCTTTGGTTTAAACACAGCTTCTCCTTTAATGAGAGGAAAGGCTCATGTTTCACAAGCCCCTCAAGCTGAAACCCCCTCTTTCTCCCAAGTGCCGCAAATTTGTTAGGGCTTTGACCAAGTGTCTAGCTTTACATATGCGTGCACACACACACACACACACACACACACACACACACACACACACACACACACACACACACACATATACACACACAAACACAAACGTACAGAACAGTTCCCCAATATGCCTTTAAATGGGACCACTAAATACAGCCCCGGGTTTCACAAATCATGTGGATGGAGGAGCCGTGCGCTGCCAGTGCCAGCCACCGGTGACAAATGGTCCCTGTGTGTGCTTTCAGGACTGACTGATCACCGGGCCATCCCTCCTCTTGACTAAAGAGCAGCAAACACAAAGAAAAAACCCCCAGAAACACCCTCATTAAGGCCAGAGCCATGCATACACAGCCTGCTCCCCTTCCCAAACTTCTCACGTTTGATGTCCTTAACCTGAATCCAAAGTTGCTAATAGATGGCTACATATCGGGTATTATTTTTAAAGTGAGATTATGGCGCAATTAGGTTCTCCATCCTCCTGCGGGTACTAATGACGAAGCAACCTTTCAACAAAGTTTTTCCCAATATTTGTTTTATGATCACCATTACTCATTTCAATTAACACAACCCTTTTATGCTGCTTTTTTACAATATAACTCGAGTTTCATCATTTCTTTTCACCTGGGCCTCCATAGGGCTTAGAGTTTTGCTTATTTAGTTTATTGCCATTTTGTTTGGAGCACATCGTTTGTGTTTTGTCTTTCTTTCCGTTAAAAATAATCTCCCTCCTCTGCCATCGATTGTTTTCCTTGTTAAAGTCTCACGCTGGAAGATTATCTCGGCTCTGACACCGTGATCGAGCGGATGTGCTGCACCTGGCTGTCCACCTCACTTTAGCCTCTGCGCACTGCCGACGATCTCGTACCAGGAGCTTGGGGGGGGACGAACTTGTTGATAGTTAAAGATCATATTGTTGTGGCATTTAATTAAGAAATGCAAATGCGAGGCCAGGACAGATTGGAACCTTTTGACCACGCTGCCAATCACACCTGAACGAGCCGGTCAGTGGCTCGCTCATCATCGCTAACACTTTATAGGCTTTCTGTCTCGGCCTCTACACATCCGTGTCTGCGCTTCTACCCATCTGTTTGCCCGTATGTGTCTTTATCCGGGCCTTTTAATTTGCCTATAAAGAACTCTTAAGGTGCAAAAACAGCAGAAAAACAAAAATTGGCCGTTAGCTCACCAGATAAGATTTCTCATATTTAATTGGTTAAAAGAAGTTCTCCAGCATGTGAGACAGCAGAGCCTTGCATTTCCTCACGCCGTGTTTTGTCCACAGTGGGGCTCGGCCACTTAATGAGCTTCCTCCGCCTCTCCTCCATCATCTAACGGAAAGGCCCTGGATTCAGCATTTCCACCCCACCGCTCTCTCGTCCTCCCCAAAGATGCAATGGACGTCCAGTGCTGTTGTAGGTGTTAAATTATGCATAAGCAGTCTAAATGCTTTGAGGCATTGGTTTAATATCTCAGCCCGGGCCTTAGAAGTATTAACACTACCACGGACATGGATTGTCCTCTTGTGGAATGCCCTTTTATGATTACGGGTCATAAACTGCTGCCTGTTTCCCAGTGTCACTTCAGGAATCTGAGAAAAACTTAACAAACCTTTTGTTTTCTCACAACACTGAAAAAAAAAGTTTGCTAAAGTTTGCCGTCTCCGTGGAGGAGGCTGCATTGTGTTCTTCCCCCCCATCCCTCCCCCCCTCCCGGTCTCAGTTTTCTTGACTTAGTGTTGGAGGGAGTATATATAGTCATGATTTCATGTTGTGTGTGTGATTTGACTGTTAACAGGATGGGGCTGGTTCATGTCAGGGTTTTTATGTCCCCCCTGTCTTGTGAGATTGTCTGGTCTGTTCCCGGAATAGCCCATCAGTTCCGCCCTGCGTGGCTCATCCGCTGTAATGTGCCTTAATGCCCGGGCCGTATGAGTAGTGTGAGGCCTGGCAGTGACAGTGGAGGAGCATCTTAGCTCGCTGCTTATCCAGAGAAATCCTTCACTTAACTCAGCCCCTCTATTGTCTATCCACACCCCTCTCCTTCTCCCCTGACGTGATTCTCTATAATCCTCAAGCAGATTCTGGTTAGAACTCCCTGAGAACTATTTTTATGTTTCTTTTTTTCCCCTCCCTTCCTCCCATTTAAACATTAATGGTTGTTGCAGATGAAGAAAAGGATCCCTATGAGGATGATTATAATGTCACTCCACTGATCTCCCGCCGCCCCGAAATAATTGTACATCATCGCTTCATAACGTGTCAGAGGGACACGTTGGTGGCGTGCAATTAAAACCGCAGAATATAATACACCAAATTACTGCCTGTCAGGCCTATGAACAACACACTCGGTGTTTGAGTTACACTTAATCATCACGTACATTAGCGATTTTGCTAAGATCCCTCCACACCACCCCCTCCGCCCATACAGCAAAGGGCGTGAAGCACACTGCTCCTTACAGGCTGAGGGATTGTGTCTACGATACAACAGCTCTAGGGTAGCTTCATATTAATGTTAGACTTAGACCTTTTAAAAGCTCATCATTTCCTAAATGATTTAGCTGTGTGTGACCAAGTGCAAGCACCATGTCTTGTCAGGAATTGGAAGCTGGAATTATAAATTCATTAACACGCAACAGATGTAAACACTGAATGTTTTCCTCACGATTCAGAAAGCCTTGTGTGTTTGCATATTTTAATAATACTTATCAACCTGCAGAATGTCTGTATATATGAAGTTACAGGCATATTAAGTGAGCACATCTGGTATAACCACCTCAAGTAAAACTACTAGAATCTTAACCCTTACCCTCATAATGTTTTCGTCCAGCCATTGGCAATTTAACCTTGCAAACCACATACTTATCTATCTAATGTATGTATTCCATATCTACATTATTATGCATGGCCCTTTTTCATTTGTTCTCTTCAGACACAGGATCCTGTATTCAGTCCCATCAGGAAGACATATTCCTGTTTACCTTTTGAAGAGACACTTTAAGACTCACTTGTTGTGTCCGGAACACGGTCCTTGTCAGTCAGTGAAGTCCCCTTCACCAAAATAAACACATTTCGCACTGATGCATTTAACAAAATGTAGTGGGCCATTATCGGAAATGAAATAAGTAACGCTAAAGGTCATTTGGAAAATAATGCAGAAAGGCTGGTCTGGAAAGGTTAAGTATGTGACGGAGCTGTTCTGATGATAACGAGGGCTGCGTACGGCTTGGAGAGCTCGGCGTTCTGGTTTGACTCGGCACTCTGCGATCGCTCTTTATGACCGCGACAGCTTTACAGCCCGTTACCCCCCATAACACGATAAAGCGCAGCATAATGGATTGGATGTGTTTAGTAGCCTTGGGCTGATGTTTGTAAAATTAATGTTTTTTGCAATAGAAACACACTCATGCACGGGCACACATGCACACACTGGAAAGAAAAAGCAAGAGAGGGGAAAAAGAGAGAGGAGAGAGAAATCAACTCCGGACAGCATCGATGTATCAATATAAATCTGCCAGAGTACAGTTTTATACATTTTATACTTGTTTTGGAGCTGACTGGATTGTCAAACTTTAGTGTCTTGTCCTCGCAGATATCTCTCAGTTGAAGAGAGGACAAC